TGTTTCTATTAAAAATAAATAAATAAGTAAGTAAATAAAAATAAAAACACAAAATCCAAAAGTTCTTTAGTTATACCTAAAAGTAATCATCTAAAGGATTGTCTTATCAAGCATCTGGGTATTTTCCTCTTAGACAATCACACTTTTTTTTTTTTTTGAGACGGAGTGTGGCTCTGTCGCCCAGGCTGGAGTGCAGTGGCCGGATCTCAGCTCACTGCAAGCTCCGCCTCTCGGGTTCACGCCATTCTCCGGCCTCAGCCTCCCAAGTAGCTGGGACTACAGGCGCCCGCCACCGCGCCCGGCTAATTTTTTGTATTTTTAGTAGAAACGGGGTTTCACCGTGGTCTCGATCTCCTGACCTTGTGATCCGCCCGCCTCGGCCTCCCAAAGTGCTGGGATTTTTGTATTTTTAGTAGAGACATGTTTAGTCACGATGTTGGCCAGGCTGATCTCGAACTCCCGACCTCAGGTGATGCACCCACCTCGGCCTTCCAAAGTACTGGGATTACAGGCGTAAGCCACCGCACCTGGCCAATCACACCTCATTTTAATATATAGAATCAATTTGCCAATTAACAATATCTCTTGCCCAGGAACCGTGGGTCATGCCTGTAATCCCAGCACTTTGGGAGGCCAAGGCGGGCGGATCACAAGGTCAGGAGTTCAAGACCAGCCTGGCCAATATGGTAAAATCCTGTCTCTACTAAAAATACAAAAATTAGCCGGGGCATTGTGGCAGGCTCCTGTAGTACCAGCTACTTGGGAGGCTGAGGCAGGAGAATCGCTTGAACCTGGGAGGCAGAGGTTGCAATAAGCTGATATGATGTCACTGCACTCCAGCCTGGGTGACAGAGTGAGACTCTGTGTCAAAGTGAGACTCTCATTGTATAAGAGTTTTTATTTTACATCATTTTATTTCCACAACAACCTGGTAAGAGTGGTACTTTGAATTTTGTCTTGCAAAAGAGAAAACTATTCTTATGGAAATAAACTGAGATACATAGGAAATATGTAGCAACATTGGAGCATGAGCCAAGTTTTCTGATTCTGGGTCTCAAATTGTGAGAGAGGTCTTTTATTTTGATCATTTGCCTAATAATTTTAATTGTGTATAATACGGAAAAAGTAATTTAAAAATGTAACATAAAAGCAGGAAAAAAATCCAAAACTTTTCCCAGACGAAGATTAGTAGGACAATTATCTTTCCTTTACAAAATATCCCTGAGATTTGCGGGTGGAGCAGTCAGAGAAATACATCACGTGCTCCCTACTCCAAATTATCCATTCAAGAATCAGCAGCCCTTTTCTCGAGAGTCTGTATATAAGGTGATTAATGACTTTGAGGACTAAATAGACTATGTCACTAAATAAACATTCAAACCTTATCTGATGCATATCTAATTCAAAATAATTTGAAGACAACTTTTTAATTTTATTTTATTTTTATTTTTTTGAGATAGGGTCTTGCTCCATTACCCAAGCTGGAGTGCAGTAGCTCAGTCTCGGTTCACTACAGCCTCCATCTCCTGGGCTCAAGCAATCCTCCCACCTCAGCCTCCTGAGTAGCTGGGACTACAGGCGAGCACCATCATGCCTGGGTAATTTTTGTATTTTTAGTAGAGACGGTGTTTCACCATGTTGGCCAGGTTGGTCTCAAACCCTGGCCTCAAATGATCCGCCCACCTTGGCCTCCCAAAGTGCTGGGATTACAGGCGTGACCCACTGTACCAAGCCCCAGACAACTTTTTTACTTTTTATTTTTGGAAACAGGGTCTCACTCTGTCACCCAGGCTAGAGTGCAGTGGCATAGTCATGGCTCACTATAACCTCAAATCCTGGGTTTAGGTATCCTCTCACCTCAGCCTCCCAAGTAGGTAGGACTACAGGCATGTGCTACCACACCTGTTTTTTTTTTTTTTTTTTAGACGGAGTATCGCTCTTATCACCAAAGCTGGAATGCAGCGATGCAATCTTGGCTCACTGCAAGCTCCACCTCCCGGGTTCACGCCATTCTCCTGCCTCAGACTGCTGAGTAGCTGGGACTACAGGCGCCCGCCACCACGCCTGACTAATTTTTTGTATTTTTAATAGAGATGGGGTTTCACCATATCAGCCAGGATGGTCTTGATCTCCTGACCTCGTGATCTGCCCGCCTTGGTCTCCCAAAGTGCTGGGATTACAGGTATGAGCCACCATGCCCAGCCCACACCTGGCTATTTTTAAATTTTTCTGTAGAGACGGTGTCTCACTATGTTGCCCAGGCTGGTCTCGAACTCCTGGTCTCAAGCAATTTTCCCACCTTAGCCTCCCAAAGTGCAAGGATTAGAGGCGTGAGCCACCATGCTCATCCAAGAATTAAACTTTTAAGTAATCTTTTACTGAAGTATAACAAATACAGAAAAGTGCACAAATCACAAGCATGCAGCTTAATGAATTTTACAAAGTGCACACACGTGTTTAACTAGCATACAGAGCTTTTTAAAAAAGAGGATAACCAGTATCCCAAAACATTCCCATTCTCTCTTCAGTGACTAGTCCCAAAGGTAATCTCATGTTTATCATGATAGATTCGTTTAGTCTGTTTTTTTTTTCCCCTGGAGACGGAGTCTCACTTTGTCGCCCAGGCTGGAGTGCAGTGGCACAATCTCAATCTCGGCTCACTGCAACCCCCACCTCCTGGGTTCAAGCAATTCTTCTGCCTCAGCCTCCCGAGTAGCTGGGACTACCACCATACCTGGCTAATTTTTTTGTATTTTTAGTAGAGTCCAGGTTTCACCATGTTGCCCAGGCTGATCTTGAACTCCTGAGCTCAGGCAACCTGCCTGCCTTGGCCTCTCAAAGTGCTAGGATTACAGGCGTGGGCCACCGCACCTGGCTTGTTTTTGTGCTTTATATATAGCTGTGTGGCTTCTTTCACTCAACACTATGTTTGTGAGATCTACCCATGTTACTGGGTGAAACATTTATTCAATATATACACAATAATCTGCCATTGAGATACTCCAGGTTTTGGCTAATACAAATAGTGCTGCTATGAACATTCTTGTAATCAGGTTTAACCATGTGAAATTGCCATTTTTGCAAACAGACAACTGGCAAATACTGGCAATTTTATACATATACCTCCACCAGTTGCATGTCCTTTAGTGCACATCTGTTTGCATTTTGTTGGATATACACCCAGGGGTTGGACTGCAGGGCCATAGGATATACAAATCTTCAGCTTTAGTAGATATTGCCAAACAGTTTTTCAAAGTGATTCAACTAACCCACACTTCCATCAGCAATGTATGAGATTTCCAGTAGCTATTCTCATGGGTGTGTAGTGGTATTGCAATGTGGTGGTGTTTTTTGGTTTTCTTTGAGACAGAGTCTCGCTCTTATCACCCAGGCTGGAATGCAGTGGTGCAATCTCGGCTCACTGCAACCTCTGGCTCTGGGTTCAGGCCATTCTCCTGCCTCAGCCTCTCAAGTAGCTGCGATTACAGGCGCCCACCGCCATGCCCGGCTAATTTTTGTATTTTTAGTAGAGATGGGGTTTCACCATGTTGGCCAGGCTGGTCTCAAACTTCTGACCCCAGGTGATCTGCCTGCCTTGGCCTCCCAAAGTGCTGGGATTACAGGTGTGTGCCACAGGGCCCGGCCTCCTGTTTCCTTTTAAATCTGAACATTGTTTCTCAATCTTCTTAGGAGTCCGAATCCTCTAACCACATCTAATGCTGGTACTCCCAAGGAGTTCTCTCCTTATTTCACTGTGCTTTTCTCACACCTACCCCCTCTCCCTGGCTCATCGCATCTGTTCTCATGAGTAAAGTACCATCTCTACAGGCTGACGGCCTCCAAACCTAGACCCCAGCTCAGTGCTCATCCTTAGCTTCAGACATGCATCTCTATCTATTGGACATCTCTCCCTAATGTCCTACAGGCTTCAAAACAGATTTGTGTTTGTTTTTTTTTTTCAATAAACCTTTTGCACTCCCAAATTAAAAAAAAATAAAGAAGGAAATAGAAAATATCAGGGTGTATCACATGCAAAAATACAAAGGTTGTTTTTGTTTTTCATTGAGTCAGGGTCTCGCTCTGCCACCCAGGCTGGAGTGCACTGGTGCAATCTCTGCTCACTAGGATCTCCACCTCCTGGGCTCAAGGAATTCTCCCACCTCAGCCTCCCAAGTAGCTGGAACTACAGGCGCATACCACCATGCCCAGCTAACTTTTTTGTAATTTCTGGTAAAGATGGGGTCTTGCTATGTTTCCCAGTCTGGTCCTGGGCTCAATCAATCTGCCCGCCTTGCCCTCCCAAAGTGCTGGTATTACAAGAGGTGAGCCACCACGCCTGGCCTTTTTTTTTTTTTTTTTTTAATGAAACTTTTGTTTCATATGTGTATCCTGGATCACAGTCAAAAGTTTTAACACAGAAACTAGATTACAGGCTAGACATAATGGTGGAAGGAGTAGGAGGAGCCAGAGACACCTGCATCTGTTTGACAAAAACAGGGAAGCGAGAAGGAGCCAGTTTCTGGGGGAAGACAGTGACTTTCATTTTGGAGGCATCAGTTCTGGTTTACAGTAAATCAGGCAATAGTTGTCTCTTTCCTTTGTATTTCTGGCACTAGTCAAAGCATATTTCTGAATAAATGCTTTCAGGAAGGAGGGTGATTCCCCTATAGGTCATTCATAATTATTTCTCAAGAAGAGGGGGGATGCTTTACTGGGGAAAACCACATTGATTGAACTCTTATCTTGTGCTGGGTTCTTTGCATCCAGTTTCTCATTCATCCTCCAAGCAGCCCTGTGCAGTAGGTACCATTAACTCTGTTTTACAAATGAGGAAGGTGAGGTTCAGAGAGGATAAGAAACTGCCTAAGGTGATGCAGTTAGTAAGTGATAAAGTGTGTCTTGCTAGCGAATCAGACTGTCTTTGAAAGCATCACCAGGACTTCTTATGGCCTCACGTATTAGTTTATTAGGGCTGCTGTAACAAATGACCACAAACTGGGTGGCTTAAAGCAACAGACATTTATTCTCTCCAGTTCAGGAGGCTGGAAGCCCAAAATCAAGATGTTATCTGGGCTGGTTCCTTCAAAGGGCTCTGAGGGGACTCTGGCCCATGCCTCTCTCCTAGTTTCTAGTGACTGCTGGCAACACTTGGTCTTCCTGGGCTTGTAGATGCATCATTCCAATCTCCACTTCCATCTTCACATGGCATTCACAGGGCCATCTTCTCATAAGAACAGCAGTCATGTTGGATTAGTCCCTGCCCCAGTCCAGCGTGTCCTCATTTTAATTAGTTACATCTACAATGGCCTTATTTGGAAAAATAAGGTACTGGGGATTAGGACTTCAACAAATTTGTTTTGAGGGATGCAATTCAATCATAACATCTCAGTAAGGTGAATAAGCCCTACAGTTGAGGAAATTATTTCCTCCTGATTTTGCAGAAAAAGTTGATGTAATTTCTTGTTAGATTCGTAAGTTGATGTAATTTGTTGTTAGATTCGTAAGTTCCCCAGAAACTGCCAAGGTACCTAGACTTCCTATGAGAAAATTTCTTTTCTTTTTCTTTTTCTTTTTTTTTTTTTTTTTGAGACAAGGTCTGGCTCTGTCCCCCAGGCCGGAGTGTGGTGACACGATCTCCACTCACTGCAACCTCTACCTCGCGGGCTCAGGTGATTCTCCCACCTCAGCCTCTTCAGTAGTTGGGATAACAGGCATGCTCCACCACACCCGGCTAATTTTTTAGTAGAGACGGGGTTTCGCCATGTTGCCCAGGATGGTCTGGAACTCGAGAGCTCAAGGGATCAGCCCGTCTCGGCCTCCCAAAGTGCTGGAATTACAGACTCGAGCCACTGCTCCCAACCAGCACATTTTATTAATACTTATGATTCCCCCACATCCCCACTGCCTTCCAGACACAAAACAATCAATCCATTGCTGCCTCATAAAAACACAAACTCATCACCTTTCCCTCCCTCCTGGAATTCCCCGTTTTTCACAAAACTGGCTCCCCATCTTCCAGAAAGAATCCGTTTCTTTCCACTCTCCTTACATCTCCCAGGTTCAATTCCCTACGGTTGGCTGGGCGCAGTGGCTCACGCCTGTAATCCCAGCACTTTGGGAGGCCGACGTGGGCGGATCACCTGAGGTCAGGAGGTCAAGACCAAACTGGCCAACATGGTGAAACCCGTCTCTACCAAAAATACAAAAATTAGCCGGGCGTGGTGGCGCGCGCCTGTAATCCCAGCTACTCGGGAGGCTGAGGCACGAGAATCGCTTGAAATCGGGAGGCGGAGGTTGCAGCGAGTGCACCAATGCACTCCAGCCTGGGCGACAGAGCAAGACTGTCCAAAAAAAAAAAAAGAAAAAGAAAAAAATCCTTACGGTTGCCTCTCCCCTGGGAAGAGGAGAGGCAACTTCTCTTTGCTGCCAGGCTCTTCACCTCCAATCCAGCCTCACATTCGGTATACAGTATACGGCCAATTTTCTAGAAACACATCTCCAGTCTGACTCTGCAAATCATAAACCTCGGGGACTTCAGGCATTTTCCTCCCTGGTGGAGTATTCAACTGCTCCACCCAGCATTCAAGGACAAACTCAATTCGGCGCCACATTCATCTCCCTTTATCCCTTCTAAGTGGAATACCGCTCCAGCGCCAACGCAATCTCCTCCTCCCTCGCCCTTCCCTAATCCCTTGCCTGCCCTGTTTCCCTGTTGAGCTCCTGAAACACTTCGCATCTCTCCCCGTTATTCCAGTCTATCTGGTGAAAAGGTTATTTGAGGACCTTGTCTACGCTGCCCCCACCAGATCCCGCTCCCGGCGCCACAGGCTGGGCCCCAACAGGAGCTCCTCAATCTAAGTGTCTACGAGAAACCCAGGGAGTCTCCACGAAGGAGGGACTTTGCCCACTAGAGACTAACACTGGCCTCCGAATTGCCTTCCTGGAGATTCGGCCTAGCGGCTCTCAGGAGTCGGGAGGGGCAAGAACGTCTCCCCGGTGCAGTGGAAGAAGACTGCCGGCCAGCCCGGGACTCGGAATCCGGGGCCAGGGCCTCGGCAGGCGCCCGCTCGGAAGCCGGCAGCGCAGACGCAGACAACCCACTGCTCAGCGGGACACATCTCCGGCCTTGCGCCGGAACGCCGCTTGGACAACAACCTTTCCGCCGAGTGCAGGCCGAGCGCTTTTGGGCGCAGCACGCAGGAACCGGAAGTCAATGGAGGAAGACCAGACCTACTGACTCAATTTGGAGATGAGCGGCCCTACCCTCTTCATGGCGGGAGGTAGGGTGCTTGGCACACTGGGGTAGTTTCCTGTCTGTCACTAGCCTCTGACCCTAGAGGCTAATGGAATAGGGCTGGAGGTATTCTGGAGGAACCTGGAGTGTTTCCTTCCTCATGTCCCTCATGTCCCTTGTTCAGGCCCCTCTCTTGGAGCCCCAGCCTAGTTGACGGGGCGGTTTTCGGAACATTTGTGCTTCCCTGGCCTCAGGTTCCACAGGTGGCTCCTCAGAGTGGGCGGATGGTTCAGATTCTCACAGCCGCTTGCTTACCTCTGGCCGCATTACTTTCCTGTGGCTGCGATGTTAGAGTGACTTCCCACTGGTTTTACAAAGTTATGCATTGTATGGTGTTTCTCATACTTGCAAAAACGTCATGGTAGAAATCTTGAAAAGTGTACGGAAGAAAATAAAACTGCCCTTAAATCTACCACTTAGCCGAAACATTTCTTTTTTTTTTTTTTTTTTTTTTTTTTTGAGACGGAGTCTCACGCTGTTGCCCAGGCTGGAGTGCAGTGGCGCGATCTCGGCTCACTGCAAGCTCCGCCTCCTGGGTTCACGCCATTCTCCTGCCTCAGCCTCCTGAGTAGCTAGGACTACAGGCGCCCGCCACCGCGCCCGGCTAATTTTTTGTATTTTTAGTAGAGACGGGGTTTCACTGTGGTCTCGATATCCTGACCTTGTGATCCGCCCGCCTCGGCCTCCCAAAGTGCTGGGATTACAGGCTTGAGCCACCGCGCCCGGCGAAACATTTCTTATAAACGTATAACATTTAATTTTATTCAGTTCCACCAGATGAGATACTAAAATGTGAAAATGGAAGTGAAGAGAAACCTTTTTTTTTTTTTTTTTTTTTGAAACAAGTTACACTCATGTTGCCCAAACTGGAATGCAATGGTGTGATCTGGGCTCACCGCAACCTCCGCCTTCCGGGTTAAAGCGATTCTCCTGCCTCAGCCTCCTGAAGGTAGCTGGGATTACAGGCATACGCCACCACGCCCGGCTAATTTTGTATGTTTAGTAGAGTCAGGGTTTCTCCATGTTGGTCAGGCTGGTCTCGAACTCCCGACCTCAGGTGATCCTCCCACCTCGGCTCCGAAAGTGCCAGGATTATAGGCGTGAGCCACTACGCCCGGCCTAAGACAAACCTTAACAGGAAATATTAGTTACAAAAAGATTCCTCTAAATTAAAAATATCAAAAACGTTAAGCAGTTGGAATAATTATTTCAACTACCTTCTTCCTAATGGGTGTAAAATACAGTTTTCTAGGTAGTAAAACTTTGGACTGATCCATAAAAATCGGAAGACATCTCTCGTGACTTGAAAACAACAAAAGCTGTATTTAAAACTCTATGTAATATAGTTTAAAAACTAATCCTCTTTTAAAGATGATTCTCCAGGACAATTTAATATTGTCCTCTACTAGTTCTTAAATTCCGGGAAAGTATTTGTGACTTTGCAAAGGATCTAGTCAAGCTTGCAACTAACACTAAAGGAAGTAGGACATCCAACTTACATTTTGCTACATTTTCCTTTTAGAGAGGTGGAGATGCTTTCTGGCCCCGTCGAGGTCATCCCTGTTCCGGGTCTTACATAATTCCTGCTGTCGGAAAAAATCCACTACACCTAAGAAAATTACTCCCAATGTTACTTTTTGTGATGAAAATGCAAAGGAGCCTGAAAATGCACTTGACAAGCTCTTCTCTTCAGAACAGCAGGCTTCCATCTTGCATGTGTTGAATACAGCATCTACTAAAGAACTTGAAGCTTTCAGATTGCTTCGTGGAAGAAGGTCCATCAATATCGTAAAGCACAGAGAAAACTTTGGGCGATTTCAGAATTTAGAGAGTTTAATGAATGTGCCCTTGTTTAAGTATAAAAGTACAGTTCAAGTTTGTAACTCCATACTTTGTCCAAAGACTGGAGGGGAAAAAAGAAAGTTACTGGAAAACCGGTTCCTGAGAAAGCTCCTCAAACCAGACATAGAAAGAGAAAGACTTAAGGTATATTCTTCATGTCTGCTATACTGCCTAATATTTGAGAACCTACTCTGGAAAGCAGTCTTCGGGGCATTGGGTTGGGAAGTGGCTAAGACAAGGTTCTTCAGGTTTAGTTGGCAAGTATATGGTCACTACCAAATAATGAGATGTACAGATAGTAAATTGGCAGTTGAGAGGAGAGAAAACAATGGGCTGTGACTGTTGTGGAAAGTTTACTGGAAAAACTCAATTTAGATCTTAAAGGAGAGATCCTTTGGCTGGGAGAGGAGGGGATTCTAGGTAGAAAGAACAGTTAGTGTTGAGAAGCAGGTCTAGGCAAGGCTTATTTAAGAGGAGCGTCATTGGAGATACTAGGCTGTGTCTAAGGGTGATGTTGGGATTAATGAGAAATTAAGGAGTAAAGATGGGTTATGGCCTTTCTAAAAGCACTTCTTTTTCCATTATCTTAAAAAAATAAGTACTACAAATATTTGACACAGCTTTTTTTTTTTTTTTTTTTTTTTTTTTGAGACGGAGTCTTGCGCTGTCACCAGGCTGGAGTACAGTGGCACGATCTTGGCTCACGACAACCTCCACCTCCCAGGAACAAGCGATTCTCCTGCCTCAGCCTCCTGAGTAGCTGGGACTACAGGCACACGCCCCCACACCCAGCTAATTTTTGTATTTTTAGTAGAGACGGGGTTTCACCACGTTGGCCAGGATGGTCTCGATCTGTTGACCTCATGATTCACCCACCTCGGGCTCCCAAAGTGCTGGGATTACAGGTGTGAGCCACTGCGCCTGGACACAGCATTCAAATATTAAACTTTAGAGGAACTCATGTCCTGTGTAACATTGCTTGATAATCATTATCTCAAAAAATCATAAGCACCATTTTTTTCTAGACCAGTGGCTCCCAGGTTTTTGAGGAATATGGGTACTTTTGAAAACCTGATGAGGCCGGGCGCGGTGGCTCAAGCCTGTAATCCCAGCACTTTGGGAGGCCGAGACGGGCGGATCACGAGGTCAGGAGATCGAGACCATCCTGGCTAACACAATGAAACCCCGTCTCCACTAAAAATACAAAAAAAATTAGCCGGGCGTGGTGGCGGCGCCTGTAGTCCCAGCGACTCGGGAGGCTGAGGCAGGAGAATGGCGGGAACCCGGGAGGCGGAGCTTGCAGTGAGCCGAGATCGCGCCACTGCACTCCAGCCTGGGCGACAGAGCGAGACTCCGCCTCAAAAAAAAAAAAGAAAACCTGATGAAAGCTGTGGACCCTTTTCCTGTAGAAAAAGATATAGCACATATACACAGAATACTGCAGTTTCAGAGGACTGGCAGATTCTGTTAAGTCCGCTCATGGACTCCAGGTAGAACTGCTGCAATTGATCTGGAACATATTTCAACCAAACTTTTCAGGGAGGATTCTCATCCAAATTCATGGCCAAAACTATTTATATCCAGATTATAGTGCAGTTGCATCTTATTTAGGGGGCTGGATTCTAAAGTCAGTTTTTATGGAGACATAAGTCATGCAGTAAAATCCTTTAAGAGAAAATCGATTGCCCACAAAGTATTGTGTGTAGTCTGGTTTAGTAATGCTTACGCACACTAAAGCTTGAGAGTCACTGAGCTAAAGAAAAGAACCAATAGGAGGTCTGTATTTTGGGCATCTATACTATTTTGTCTTTAAGACATTTATCCAGTTCTTAGCAATGAAAGGGAGATGGGAATAGAACTAATTGTTCCTGTTTATTTGCCTCTGTATCTATAGAACATATTAGTTTGTTAATATAACTAAGTGAGCCATGTTGGGGAAAGGTAATAGCATTGTACTTCATTGTCAGCCCATACTTGATAGGAAGCAAAATCTAGATATTCAATTACTTATATATCTCCTTGTAGAAGCCCTATAGGCAACCCAAACTTAATACATTAAAAACAAACCAAAACAAAAAAATTTCTTCCCACCTTCCCTAGGGTCATCTTCATCATTAATGATGCCATTCAGTCACTGATATAAAACTGGAATTCTTAGACTCCTCATTAAACCTATATATTCTGTTCCCACTATCTGTTTCTTTTCCTTCTGTCATTGTCTTCAATTCTTAATACTTTCTCATGTTATAACAGGTACCTAACACAGATCCCTACCTTTAGTGCCCTCCAGCTCATCTTTTACACCATGAGTGATTTTTCTGAAATGTAAATCTTATGTTATTCCTTAACATTCTGTTTTTTTAGTGGCCCCTGTAGCACTCAGGATAAAGCAGGTTACTTACGTTTACAGACACCTGCCTAGTCCTCTGCCCTTTTCCTATTCAGTCTTTATTGTACTGCCAGAGTTTGAGATGTCAAACAGCCTATCTTTCCTGATATCTGGGTGAAATAACTTCCCGTGCACCATCTCATTCTCCTAGTTCTCCAGCAAACCTTCCCTGATCACTTCTCTCTACAATAGTTTTATGGTGGCATTTCTTATAATGTACAGTTACGTTTGTTTCCTAGTATCTAGTGCAGACCCTGGCTACACTTGAGTTTGAATGCCTACTTTGGGCTAGGTGTTGAGATGAGTATAGGTTCTTTATCTATAAACTGCTGTTCGTTACCTTTTAATAATAATTACTCCTCAGTGGCTCACCCCCATAATCCCAGCACTTTGGGAGGCAGAGGCGGATGGATCACTTGAGTTCAGGAGTTCAAGACCAGCCTGGCCAACATGGTGAAACCCCGTCTCTACTAAACGTACAAAAATTAGCTGGGTGTGGTG